ACATTTAAGCAAATAGTTTCATTTCAGGTCACAGAACTTAGTGCTGCAATCAAGGATCTGAATGAAATTCCTGGCAAAATACAGTAATTGGAAGCACAATGAAAACCGAATCGAAATGTCCCAGCATCCCACAACACTAAAAGGCAGCCTGGTAATTTCCAAATTATATTTGGGCTCAACATGCAAGGGGTTCTTTTTTATTTGGGCAGAGAAAATAGGGCTGAAGAACATTATAATAACCACACAAGACTAGGAATGCAATTATAAAATAAGCCATACCCTAGCAGGCAAATCATTTTAATGTGTTTTGAAAATTGAATACTCTGCATGGATTTAAAGGGGGAAAAAAATCAACATGCAGGAAATTAATTAAAAAGAAATAAGACACAGAAAAGCTTCAAGTGTCATAAAGTTACAAATACAAAAGCAGAAATTAAAGAACACACGATTACGGATTTTGATAACATTAGTAGCCAGAACATACCCAATGAATTACTTAATTGTCAAATATCTTACTAATTTTGACAGAAGGCTGGTGGTAATGATTAACATCAATTGATTCCAAAGGACTTTATTTGTCCTTCAATTTCAAGGAAACCTGTAAAGATGGCTTCAAGTAACTTTGAAAGGGTGGAGTTCTTCTCAAAGAAAACTGACCTGCAAGGGTTTATCCCCATTGCCCTCCCCCTACCCCACACCAAATTTGTACATTCATTCAACTCTTTTAACTAAGGCAACCAAAAACAATTTCTTGAGATCCCCAAAACATCCTCAGAAGCCACAAATTCTATCTGTTTTAAAACAAAAACCCACAAAGAAATTAACAACCTCCAATGCTGAGGGCAATAATTCTCTAAAGTGCAGGACAGCTCACTGTTACAGATTTCGTGGATTTCATGTTAAAATTTCTTTAAACGAATGGGTGGATAAGAGTGGATCAGGACCCCAGCCATGCCCTGGGTTGAGAAATAACCCGTATGAGAAAGGTGATCTATTGATCTGTCCTCAGGTATCTTTTCAACTCTGTGCACATTGCTGAGGTAGGAGCTTTGGAAGGAGTACGGGACATCTTAAGGGAGTGAGAGTGTCCTCTTGACAAATCAGTGCCCTCTTGCTCAGTTGGGGGCCTATGATGGTCATGGTCATACTCATTGGTCATGTGTGACCTTACAAAATTCAAGAGTTGTATCAGATCACAGCCACGAGGAGAGCAAGATCCAAGACAAAGCCACATGAGGCGGGCCATATCCTGGCACTGACCACAGGACATTTGCTATCTAGTGCAAGCTCAAGGGGGTGGGGATAGGGGATGAGGTGGAAAACTCTGGCAGGCAACCTACAAAACAGTTATTAGCAAATGGTATCAAAAAGTATCAAAACATTTCAAAAAACTTTAAAAACTGCCAGGCTTGGCAGACGCACTTGGCAGGATCTCCAGCTACCCGTGGAGCTGCCCTGTCCTCCAGAGGTTTGTCCTGGAGGCCAGGACACCGCCCCCGCCCCTCTGTAGACACTCAGAATCTGCAGACAGCGCGGATGGCCAGGCCACGGCTGGAACTGCCTCTCCAGGTTAGGGACCAGCGGTCTGAGATTCTAGCCCAAAATTCCAAGAGCTAAAAGGCCTGTGAGGGGCTGCTCAGGCTGGAGCTGGCCAAGCCACCTGCCATGGACGACCAGGGTAGAGAGAGGCTGAAAACTCTATCAGGGGGTGGGAGGGTGGTCCTCTCCCATCCCACAAAGCTCAAATCACCAAAAAGTCGCTCACTCCTGGACTTGGAGCCAGGTACTTTTGAACCACAGGTCAACCCACCTGAACTCACAGAGTGAGACCCTGGACCTCAGGGGAGGGACTCCACCCACTTTTGGCATTTGGGTTTCCACCCAAAACAACACCCCTTAGGGTTGGCTTCTGGGGTTTCTATTAAGTCACCATGAGGTCAGGTCGCCTTATCAGTCAGGGGCAAGGGGAGGAACGTTCAGAATATAATACACGCATGAGGTTTGCTGCTCAGATCACGATCTCTAGGTCCTACGTGGTAGTCTATCTAAAAGGGCAGACTGTTAAGAATACTGATGGAGACGCTCTCTGCACACCTTCAACAGCAGAACGACCCCCATAAGGAACAAGGATTTCTCCAGCTCTTCTAACCCCTTCCATTATTCTATTTATGTCTTAAGCAAACAGGGTTCCAACTTGGGTGATCAAACTCAAAGCCTACAACTAACATGGAGTTAAAACTCTAGTTCTTTAAAAGTGAGGAAAAAACAAACAAACCAAAACCTGAATAAGAACCCACCATGCTTATTTTAAAAGATCCAAACAAATGATCTAGATAGTCTCACAGTTCAGCTTGAAGCCTTGACAGTTTGATGACATTAACGGCAAATGCTGCTGGTTTTGTCTCAGGATGGCAGCCTGCAAGAATCTGGGCCTTTGTCACTTTGGTTTGAAACGACACCTTCGAGATTTTGCAGTTCAAATGGCCACCTGCCAAACTGAGTTCAAACCATTTCCTCCCATTCTTAGTTGGAATGCACAGCGGTGATGTCCATCTTTAAACATGGACAACAGAAGTCAGCCACGGGCCCCGCCACTTTGCTCTCCCGTGACCAGGCTCGTGGGTCATGACGCTCTTTTCCACGGACCCCAATGAGCTTGGATAAGTGGGGCCACCACCAATTATTTGAAGTTGGTTCACAAGAGGAAACTTATCAAGTCAACCTTTAAAGAAATGTCCCCTCATCCTCAATATTAGCTTCTAAGCCTTGTAGATGACAAACTGACTTTAGTGGAAGGAGAGACATCACAAAGTGTCAGGCGCAGGAGGGACATTGTAAGTAACCAAGGCACAAGTCAGAACAGAGGCCGGAGGCCCGCACCCTGGGACACGTCCTGGCAGTCAAAAAAATTGAACAGCTGGCTTAGGCTAAAAACTGATGGCTGTCCTCTCCCCAAGGTCGAAGTCATCAGTCTCCCCAAAGCACGAATAGTCTTTCTATGAGCTCTTCCCCATCTGCCCCTGGATCCTGGTTGACCACCTTTGTTTATGACTTGGGCTGAGTAGGGGAGAACAGATCATAGATTCTGTGCCTTATAAAGGATCTTCAAGTAATGAACCCTTTCCTGGAAAAGGAAAGGGCTAAGCTACCCCAAAGTTGGGAGAAGTTCTGCAAAACATGTTTCATGGAGGGGATGAGACTGGTATGAGACAAAAAAGGGTTTCAGGCTCAGCGAAGACTGGAAATGCTGGTTGATGGAAGGTTAATAGTTAATGCAGGACTTCTCAGAGCCTTTAATACACAGAAGGGTTTGTCAAGCCACAAGAAGAGTGTCGTTTTTTGGTTTGTTTGTATGCCTTGCAGAACTTCTCAACAGTCTGTAAGCCTCTAGGGACTCCCATACACAAGGAACTAGCTAACTATGCAGACTGCTTGCCCAACTAGCAACAGAGGGCAATGATTTGGGTAATGAAGCTTTAAACGCCCAGTCACTCTCAGTTCTCCTGGTTGCTATCAAAATCCTGGAAAACCTTGAAGCAAAGGAAGTGCAGCAAAGAGACAGAAATAAAATAAACTGAGATTCTTATTCTAGCATCAATGTTAACAATACACCTTGAAGTTTTCTCATCTCTGCAATCAGATCTCTGCCAAGGTATAGATCATGAATACTCCTCTGGCTCACGATTAAGTTCCTTTCCTCCCGTCATACTTTGCGTTACACAGCGTCCTGGGTGGTAGCCTCAAACTCTTCTCAAAGGCCACGCATACTCCTGATGTTCCCCTAACTGCAGAAATGGGTGCAGGGCAGTCACATGTCTCAAAAGGAGGTGCTATTTTAATAGCTTATATAGACTGAAAGAGCTTAACCCCTGGGAGGAGCCTGGCCATTATTTCATCTAACCCTGTCACTTAACAAGTGAGAAAACAGCTCAAGACTTGTTAAAGAATTTGCCCAGCAACACAAAACTACTTAGCAGCAGATGGCTTTCACTCGAGTTGGGGAGCTGGCGAGACACTCAATCACCTTCTTAGAGATTAACTTCTTCTTGTGTACAAGCTTCCAATGCTTCGAAGGAGCTGGAGTCAGAGAACAATGGCAAATTCTAGGGTGCTACCTCTTCCTTTCCTGAGAAATAAATGTAGACTTGGGGGCTCAGTACATCAGAAACAGTAGGTGCCAGGAAAAAAGAAAAGTTAAAAGAAAAAAAAAGAGAGCAAATCACAGAAATGATGTTATAAAGAGCTTCAGGTCTTTTTTCGCCCTTCTTCCCTGATTACCTAAACCCTTTTAGAATTCAGGAAGATTACCAACCAGGAAAGCTGAGTATTCAAAAACAACAGTCACTTGATAAGAAAATCCCAAGGGGGACACCTCCCTGGTGAGAAGCCCCAGGTCTCACCTGCGGGCCTGTGAGCTGGCGAGCCTTGGTCACTCTCGCCCTCTCGAGGTCCCTGTGTCCCCGCTTATGGAAACGAACGCACTTCACTTTAGCCAGTGATTCCCAAACGTGGCTGATGCTGTCACTCCAGGGGCTGGTTAAAATAGTTTCCAGCCACTCCCCTCACTACTCCTGGTAGTTTCAGATTCAATCATTCTGAGGTGGAGCCCAGGGATCTGTGTTTTTAAAAGCTCAGCCAGGTTTGGGGAGGCACGGACTAGAGGATCTGAAATGTCCCACCGAAGCCTCTCGTTTCACTACCAAAATTTCTACGTAACCCCTGCCCCGGCTACTCTCAGGGGGATGGCTGGGAGCGTCCCCAAAGGTTTGTAATGTGGGGAGAAGCCCTGCACAGATATAAGGGGATAGTTCCTGTCCAGGCCCAGGTTTAATTACTCAAGCAAGATAATATATAAAGTTATGTAGAATATTTAATCGGTTACGGTGATATTATAGAAATACTAAGAATCATAAAAGTAAAAAAAAAAAAAAAAAAAAAGCTGGT